TGTTGCTGTATTGTACTTTATATATTTAAAACATTATGATAGTGTTATGCAATTATATATGTAGCTTGTTGCATATGTTGCATAGTGTTTATGTAAATAAACACAATATGCAAATAAAACATTGTGTATATCCAAGGGCGTGTCTACACGGTGGCCAGGGGTGGCACCGGCCCCCCCCTGAAATTTGACTGGCCACCCCAGGTGCCCCCCCCTACCAGATGTCTTGCCATAGGCTTGTTTTTAGTACATTTCTTGAAAGAGTGAATCCCGCATAAATATACATGACGTCATTCCCGAAACTTTGCAACGTGTGTGGCCGAAAACCAAAGTTCTAGGCTACATTTTAAATGGATTATTAAAAAGTAATATACTACTGTAATATTATTATTTTTGTAATGCGTTACTCCCAACACTGATTATAACATACATCGTTCCGTTTACTCATTTAACATTAACGGATCTCCAGGCAGGCGTACAGCAGTGACAGGCAGACACATAACGGTGTCCTGTATGGAAAGATGTTTCAGAACGTGGAAACAAGAGCGAAGGGAAAAACAGCATAAGCATACAAAAAATAAAAATGTGAGCAGAAAATGTCTGAGACCAGAAAAAACAGAGAAATGTAACCAAGGAAAACATGATTTTGTGCGCGTCAGACAATTTTGCAATAATATTTAAATTTTGTGCAATATGATTTTAAAACGTGTTTAAAGTTTTGATTCATGCTTATTATTTAAAAAAATGCGTTATTAATTTTTTGATTTACGCTTATTATTTTTTAATCCGTGACCATTGTTTGCAATTCTGAAAACTTTGCTTTCATTTTTAAATCTTGTGCAATATATTTTTTACTTGCGTTTTTAAATTTTGTTTTCATGCTTGTTATTTTTTTATCCGTGACTGCAATACTTTAGGCGGGATTCTGATCCCATACATGTTGCTTTACCATCATTTTAGCACATTATTTCTGAATGTAGCCTAAAAATAAAATGCGATGTGAGCCTACGCGACTTCTCAAAACGCAATTTTATACGAGTAGCATTTTTTTAACAATGCAGCAAACATTTTTAAATATCTTAAAAATACTTTAATATCTTTAAAGCGTTAACATATTTTTTTTCCTTTGTTTAGTAGCCTATAATTTGGTAAACATCTAGAAAAGATGATGCTGTATTGGCTGTGATTAAGCGCAGCGGGTTAAGATATCTCTTCCTGTTTTTTTTTTTTTTTAGAAAAGAAAACGCGGTACTTTATTATTATTATTATTATTATTATTATTATTATTGGCAAAGAAAACGTTTTAAAAAATAACGTTATTAACCGTTATTTTTTCTAGGCAAACTGGTTTAGGAACGATAACAATACAGAGGAGCGCAGGAACAGAAGCGTTAAAATATCGATTCTGCTCGGAGTGAACCGATTGGATTTTTTTTTGTTGTTTTTTGTTTTCAAGCCCTGGTACTAAGCCCTTGATCACTTAGAATCCGCTATGGAGTTGGTTTATTATTTACATTTTTCCCCTTACGAATTTGTTTGGTGCAGCATTCTATATGTATATAGGTCCATACACACGAATCCATACACACGAAACCACTGAAACGGACTCAAAACGATGTAGTATACATGCCAGACCAGTATATGTCGCTATAATTCTGCCACAGAGATACACTAAAAATGGAGAAAGAAGTCTTGGAGCATGTGCATAAACCTTGCACGCTGTATACAAACATATTTGTTTTAGTAATTTTTTATTTTTCTTTAGTAAAGCTAATAGTCTGAGTAACTTCTGCAGCACGAACACAAGCATGTAGTCCGCCATTGTTGTTGTTGTTGTCTGGACGAAATGCCGATACGATACAAATTCTTTACATATACAGCTAAACGCATCTCCGTGTGGACGGGGCCTCAAAGTTGGTTGAACCTCCTTATTGAAACGGGCCCCAGATGTGCTAAAACAGTAGCCACATTTAAATCTAGACTCAAAACACATCTGTTCAGCTGTGCATTTACTGAATGAACTCTGTGCTACGTCCTAGTGATTGCACTGTATTTTTTATATATACTCTTTTTTATTCTTACCTGTTTTAATTCCTCTATACATAAATTTTTCTAACCATTTTAAAATGTTTATACTTTGCTTTTATTGTTGTGATTATTTTTGTGATTATTTTAATTCCTTTTTATGTAAAGCACTTTGAATTATGAAATGTGCAATATAATGCAAATAACACTTGCACACTTGCAAACACACATTTCAAGCAAATATTAAAGAGCTGGCTGTCTGGTGCAGTCACAACAACCTGGAGCTGAACATGCTCAAAACAGTGGAGATGATCATGGACTTCAGGAGAAACCCCCTGCTCTCCCCCCACTCACCATCATGGACAGCACTGTGACTGCAGTGGAGTCATTCAGGTTCCTGGGCACCACCATCTCTCAGGACCTGAAGTGGGACAATCACATTGACTCTATTGTTAAAAAGGGCTAACAGAGATTGTTCTTCCTTTGCCAGTTGAGGAAATTCAACCTGCCACAGGAGCTGCTCAGACAGTTCTTCTCAGCCGTCATTTAGTCTGTCCTGTGTTCATCTATAACTGTTTGGTTTGGCTCAGCTACCAAATCAGACATCAGAAGACTACAATGGACAGTCAGGTCTGCTGAGAGGATTATTGGTGCCCCCCTGCCCATCCTCCAAGATCTTTAATGGGGGCAGTCGTGGCCTAATGGTTAGAGAGTTGGACTTGTAACCCAAAGGTTGTGGGTTTGAGTCTCAGGTCCGGCAGGAATTGTTGGTGGGGGGAGTGAATAACCAGCACTCTCTTCCACCCTCAGTACCATGACTGAGGTGAGACCCTTAAGCAAGGCACCGAACCCCCAACTGTTCCCCGGGTGCCGCAGCACATGGCTGCCCACTGCTCCAAGTGTGTGTTCATGTTGTCACCATACTCGGCCACACCTCACTTCACTCACTTTACACTTCCGGAGTGAGGAAAAGGGCTGGTAAAATCACTCTGGACCCCACACGCCCAGCACACTTCCTCTTTGAACTGTTGCCTACAGAGCACTGAGCACCAAAACGGCCAGAAGACCAGTTTTTTTTTTCAGGCCATATCCCACCTGAACAACACATAACACACCTCAGGACTGTACATCTGTAAATAACTCTTCTAAACTTTCATCTGTAAATTACAAATATGCACATTCACAGTTCTGTCTACTGACATTTTTTTTTTCTATATTTTTCTCTATATTTTATTACTATATTGTTATTTATAATTTATAGTCTATTCTCTTTATTATTAGTGTTTTTTATTATCTTAAACTATATGTATGTCTGCACTATGTCTGTACTTTCTGTACTGGAAGCTCCTGACACCAAGACAAATTCCTTGTGTGTGTAAACACACTTGGCAATAAAACTCTTTCTGATTCTGATATTAACATTAATGTGATCATTGTTTCACACCACAGATTCTTCACTGGATCAGAAGTCCAAACCACATTAGGTGAAAGTGTTGGAGAAACACACAGCCTCACTTCCTGTTTGACGCTGACAACATCGACTTAACCCTCATGTTGTGTTCAGGACATTTTGAACCGGAGAGAATTTTCTTTTTTCCCAAAAATTAAAGTTAATGTTATGGAACTGGACTAAAACTTACTGACTTTGCTCACACAGGTTTTAACAATAGCAATTCCCTTCACCATCCGCATTTTGATTTCGGCAAATCAGTTTGGGCGAATGCAAACAACGTGATTATTGACCATGAGCACAAGCACAACATCCTAGGCAAGAAAATATGCAATCTACCTGAGGGAAGAAGTCTTTCACTATTGTAAGTTAATGTTAAATAGAGAAAAAAAAAAATACAGATTTGTAAAATTGTAACTTCAAGCGTTTATTGAAGCACAAATTCAAGCACCAAAAGCAGCCCACGCTCTCTAAGTTCTCTTTAATTAAAAATATGCATTTTCATTCATTCATAGGCAGTTACAGGCACTATTAAAGCTAATGTAATGTAGTTATATTTTATATAGTTTTATGGTTATGTGGCGAGCCTGAGTATAGTTTTACACATCAGTGCAGTCTATTCTGTAACGTTAGTGATACGCAGAGTCAGGTTTTTTTTTTCACATTAACCTGACAATAAATGTGGCACACCCAGTTTTTCTGATGCACACCCAGAGTCCCTTTTCTGGCTACGTTAGTGGTGGCCATGAAAATAATTTGAACACTTATATGAACCAAACCCAGTTCAGTTAAAGTGAACCAGAACGCGAACCAGCGGCGAGTATGTATATTAAATATATTAAGAAACAATAAATATGTTGTTCAAAATGAAGACCCAACACACTTTCTGACTGTCAAGCGTTAGTGCAACATGTTCATATGTTAATGATGAACTACAGCTGTTTTTTTTTTTCTGCTAAGAACTGGAGGAGAACTGACTTCACACATCCGCAAAAATGACATTGAGACAAACTGGTTAAAAATAAGTGAAAAAGTGTCTCAGAAAACAGAAGTTAGTTAGTATGAAGAATTAATTTTCAAGAAGAGGGGCAGAAAGAATTAAAAGTGATAGAGTAACTTGTGTTTGGTCACTATTCTCAGACACTAGGACCCTCTGATGGAGAGTCTATTAAAAGATACAATATCGTACAACACCAAACTCACATTAACACAAATACATCTGATTTAACTGAACTATGCAATAAGAACAACAAGTATTTCAACAAAACCAAGCTAAAGCACATGTCCACAGGGCCTCCATCTTTCACAAGCAGCACAGATAAATGCATGTTCTCTCAAACTCTGTATCTGATCCACACGTAACATCATCACATTAATCTGAACAATAAAGAATACGATAAACAGCAAGACTGTGGATTCATAGACCCTCCTACACACAGCACAATCATTATTTGATCTTCAGCTGCATACTGTATTAAAAACAGAAAAACAAAACAGAAGTTAGTTGTAGAAAGAATTAAATACTCACAGAGTATGAGAGGCAGTGCACTGGACCCCATACTGACACATTAATAGACTGTTTTAATAGTGCTGTGTGTGCTAAATCAGACACTTCCTGCGTTCCACAATACAAGAAGAGATGAGGGAGGAGGAGACAAAACTCTACACAGAAATGCATGAAGAAATAGGAAGAAAACGAGATCCATTCTAAGATATTTACTCTTTTAGTGCATGCAAGTTGTTAAAGTTGTTTTCTACGTGAAAAGTCTGTTTCACAGAGATTGTCTTCAGTAATTGTTCTCACACTGCATTATTTTGTTCGTTCACACTGCCAGAGCCTCACAGATTATGGACAGATCAGAGAATACCAAGTAAAATCATAAGCTGACTTCTTATGTAGGCCTGTTCATTGAAGGCCCACAATTATTTGAGTTATTCTCTCATCAACAATTACAGCCGCTTGATTAATGGCAACTAAACTGCTTTTACACAATGATCGATATAATTAATAATTAATCCAATGTATCTGTTATTTCATTCTGGCATTATCTGAATATTTTAGTTAAAAAACATAGTTTAGTTTAAAAAACATGATTTCTGTAACATGATAAGATAAAAATCTGCAAATACTTTGTAGTCACAAAGTATTGCTGCATGAGGGCAAAGCAAGGCAAGTTTATTTATATAGCACATTTCATAAACAATGGTAATTCAAAGTGCTTTACATAAAATAAAATAAAATAATAATACAAGGAATTTAAAAACTTTGAAAAAGATAAAAAAAAAATATTGAAAATGAATTTAAAACAGTTAAGAATAGAAAAAGATTATACATAAATGATGTGTGCTCCCGGCGCCTATTTATACAATAGTCGCACCGGTAGTGACGTCATGGCTGTCGCCGGCCAACGAGTTGGTGTTTTTTCAATGTATGCTTCAGACACGGGTCACGACGAGGCGTCCCCCATAGCGACCCCTAGAGGAAAATCGTGCTATAAAGCGATTTAGAAATCGCGCATGCTCAAATCGTATTTTATGACGATTTCGATTAATCGCACAGCCCTATTTAAAATGTTTATTTCTTCTCTAAAAGGAGTAGTTACATGACGGCGTTTACTTTTAGAAGTGAGAAGTGAAGACCAGGAGACTCGGGTGAATATTCAGCAGGATTCTTTATTGCGGTATGATGCTCCAGTCATTCAGTCTAACTAAAGCAGTGAAACATGTAAGTTTTATATACAATTTAGAGAGCAGTCCTTACAGGTCAAGACAAAGCAACCTTAAACAAAGGATGTAAACAGTTATTAGGAGCCTGACCAGCCCCAGACAGCAGACGGTTTCGGCCCAGATCCGGCCCACATCTGGCCCGCATGGATTTCATATGGGCCAGATGTGGGCCGGATCTGGGCCAACACTATGTTGATGTCTGGGGCTTCACGAGCCCCAATCCAAACAGTATAATTGTACCATGCAGATACTTCACAGAGATAAGAAATACATCCTCAACAAGTAGTTCTGGTCATAAACACTTGCCACAACTTTAAAGACTGGAGCAGGGTCAAAAGCCACCAAAACATGATCACCTCAGGTACTGCGCTTGTTTAACTATCAATATGGAGAGTAAGAACTAGCAGAAGCCTCTCACTAGACATTTTGCTTCACCAGCTGGTATTGTTGCTTATCAAATAAAATGTAAGAAAACAGAGACTCTTAAATGTGACATTAGACGGGTTTTCTAAGAAGGGAAGTAAATGAAAATGACATGCACATGTTGCTGTGAATCTTTTGCTCTTGTGGTAGTATTTTAAGGTTTATGAAACTAAAGATGCAGAATAAGAATAACTATCTTTCCCACTCTGGTTAAAACTATAGAACAGAAATAGAGCAGAAGTCAAACCACAACCATCAGCTCAATCTTTATTATACATCTTAACACTTATGTCATTTTTTCACAACAAGCAGCTTCTAAAGTTAGCAATGCACAAATAACAATGTGTCTCCAGTGATGAGCTAAAGAAGCTGGAGCAACACATGAAAATATGAGGCATATTGCCGTAAATGTGAATTTTAATTGTTTACTACCCATGGCCTCCGAAAAATGAGGCCCACAATAGAAACAGCCCACATAATGCTGTGACTTCCACTACAAGGTACCAAACCACACCACTGAGCGAAGCGTCTGCAGAACTCGCTTTGAATGTGAACATTGATGCTACAATTATATTAGAGATGTTACCATTTTTATGGCTATCAAATCTCTGCAAACATAAACTAATTATAATAATTTAAACACATAATGATTACATATTTATAAATATGCAAGCTGTAAGGCTGGAAGAAGCTCAGACATTTTGATATCCTTAGATATGGACAATACAAACACAGTGTATTAACATACAGGCATTGGTTTCCACATCTCACTGAGAGAGGATGCAGGAAAGCTTCTTTCTCACATATTCTTCCTTCACATTTATTCCTTCTCCCCCACTTCTTCCCCTACCTTCCCTTCACTCAGTTTGTAACGGTCACCACTGTTTCTTTTGTAGTTCCCCTCCCTGGCACTAGGGGGAGTTGGGGACGGTAACTATTGTAGCTCACCCTTTATAAGGAAGTGAGTAAGAGGGTAGGCATGTGCTTTGGCAGGGCTAGGAGCTCACCTTTGTTCAAGCCATTGTATGAGACCTATTTTGAGGAACATCATTGTTCTTTCAGCTCAATGTAAGTGATGTTTTTGTTGGATGAAGTGTGTATATGTATATGTAATGTTTCATGTTTGGTCTGATTATTTAATTTTGTTTGTATACAGAGGGTTTTCTTTTGTGGGTGTATGGGCTGGGCCAACCATCAACCATGAGGTTGAAAAGAGTAAGGACTATTTCATCCTGATTATTCGTTTGGACTGATTTTTCTTGGGATATACCTTGATGCTTGTTCTGGAATGGGAAATGGATGCTTAATATGGCCATAAACCACTGTGAGCTTCAACAACAATGTTCATCTGTGATTCTCTACTCCTTTAAGGAGAGTGTTATAAGGTAGTGTGGTTTCATGTCTGTATGTGATCCCGTTCAATGGTGTATTTTTCTGTGTTTCTTTTGTTTTATATTGTACTGGGGTTAAAAAGAAAAACTTTAAAATATAGTTGGTGGATGATCCCCCTCAGATTTTGTGTGACTCTGGTTGTTTTATTATAGCTGGTGTTACATAAATTGGCGCCCGAACAGGGACCTCCTTGACTTAATCCATTTTTACCTTGGCAAAATCGGTGTGGTCATTTATCAAAAGTGTCCTTGTCTTTATTCACATGGTACTTATGTGTTATGGGGATACTTTTGAATGATGTTTTGTGAATGTTATTTTATTTATTTTTTTGCAACTGTAATCTTAATGAGTACAGATTGTTGTCCCCCTCTCCAGAAAATATAAAATGGCCACATTTAATGATGAAGTAGAAGATGGGGCCGTACTGAGCATAGATCCAGATTTTACAGCTGGCCCCTTTGTCACTTGACGTGAGCCATTACAAGAACTTATTCAGTCACTGGGTAGTCTGTATCTAGAATCCGATAATGAAGCAGAAATTTGTGATGAAGGAGAATTAGAACTTTTGCCACCACCACCTCCTCCTCCAGTAGACAAAGACGAAGAGAGTCTTATTAGTTTGGCTATAGCCTCAAAGGTCCATCGTCTAGAGGTTAGGTTAGATATGTTAGAAGCTGATTCTGCAAAATATGTTAAAGACACAGAATTGATCGTCCAGAGAGCCATTCAACCCATAAGTAGTCAATTAAGTGATTTACAACGTCAAATACAAGTTCTAGATAAACAACAAGAAAGTCTAAAACAAATGCAGAAGCGACAAGGAACTGAAATTGATGAGAAGTTGGCTAGAATTGTTAAAGAGAGTAACCTAGTGAAACAGAAATGTGAGTCCAGCATAAAGGAACTGGGTGAAGCCATAATGAATTGTTTGAAAAGAAGAGATGCCAAGTTGAAATCTTTGATTCAGTCAACTCCTGTAGCTATATCCACTCCGGTGACACACCTGGCCTCAGCAGCATCGGCTGTCCCGACATCTGGTAGCTGCTTTCATTCTTTTCCCAATAAAGCTGCGATCAAACTTGAATTTCCAAGGTTTGGAAGCATGGAAGGGGAAGATCCTATTGACTATGTGGAGAAATGTGAGGAATATTTAGCTGTTTGGCCAATGAGTGACAGTGAAATATTAGCATCACTTCCATCAGTTTTAACCCATACTGCTAAAGACTGGTGGGTAGCTGTTAAAGCTCAGGTAAAATCATGGAATCAGTTTAAAACAATTTTTTTTCAGTCATTCCTCTCGGAAGATCATGAAGTTGAGGCGGAAAGGAGAATTCGTGAACGAAAACAAAGAGTAGATGAAAGCATTAGAACCTTTGCCTTTCAGTACAGAGCTTTGTGTTTGAGACTGAAACCCACTATGACAGAAAAGGAGATATTACAAGCCACTTTGCGGAATTGTAATCCAAGGGTTGCCAGTATCTTAAGGGGAACTGTGACATCGGTGGATGAGCTAGTTAAAGTAGGTACACTGGTGGAACGTGATCTGGCAGAAGAAAGAGCTTTTTGGAGGCAGCGACAGGCTGAACAAGCTCCAAGGGGTAATGGAATGAACAGACCAAAACATGGGCGAACACAAGGCCATCCCATTGCTGTTCATGCAGAAAGAGGTGAAAAACAAGCTGGACCTTTAACCTTATCTGTATCAATCAAGAGTCAACATTGTAAGGCTATACTTGACACAGGAAGCACTTTTTCTTTGATAAAAGAATCTTTGTGGAGAAAGCTAAAGTCAGCAACCGAAACCTGGCAAACTAGCCAAGGACAGGCTTTTATTCTCGCCAATGGCCAAGCTCAGTCAGCATTGGGTAAAGTCACATGGAGCTGCTCTTTGCATGGGTATGATTATCCTTTAACATTGTTTGTCATGAAAGACCAAGACTTGACATTTCCCATGGTTTTGGGGCTTGAATTTCTTGTTACTTCAGGAATAAGGCTAGATTT